GTTTTTTCTTTTTTCTTTTTTTTTTTAAATTATTTCCTTTGTCATTATTGTTATTTTTTATTTGAATGAAGAGAGCAAGAGTGAGGGGAAGGCAAGCCACCAGGTACAGCATTTAAACTGTGGTCAGTCATGTGGGTGTTCAGCACCTTTAACAGGCCCACTGGAAAAAAGTTTTAAAGCTATTACTCTGACATTTCTCCAAACTTGAGAGACCATTTTCAGAAATAAACATATGTGGCCCAAAAACGATATCCAAACCAAAAAAGAACACTTACTGAAATCATAAACTGTTCAGTATCTTTTTTTGGTTAAATAATTGTTTTAACTTTATTTATTTTAATTTGACCCAGAGAGGGATGGGGCAAGAAGAGAGAGGGAGAGAGGGGGAAAATGAGAAAGCAAGCCGCCAGGTCTGGTACTCGAACCATGGTCAGCCATGTGGGAGTTCAGCATCCTTAACCACCATGCCACCTGTCAGCCTGACTATTCAGTATTTTCCTACTCAAATCTTTATCTCATAAAGTTTTTTTTTCAATTATTTTATTTATTTATTTTGACCAGAGAGGGGCAGAGTGAGAGAAAGAGAGAAAGCGAGAAAGCAAGCCAACCCACCAGATCCAAGACTCAAACTGTGGTCAGCCACGTGGGAGTCCAGTGCCTCAACCAGCACACCACCTGGCGGTCCCATGAAGCTTGTATTTTAGAGCAGAGAAAACAGTTCAATCATTTTTGAGCATTAAAGACTTTAATCAAAACAGGCATCAATAAAAAATAATTCTTCAGAAAATAAATGCAAACAAAAGAAAAATTAAATGATAACTGTTCTCTACAGAGTGTTAGCTGGCTTGTTTCATGAATGCTGTTTTACAATCCTGCCAACTGTTAACAAGGTCTGCGATAAATGTCAAGAATCCATGCATGCTTTCTGTGCAGATAGCAGGCCAGCAAGCATGGTGAACATCGCTAAAACCCGTCGGACTTTCTGTAAGAAGTGTGGCAAGCACCAACCTCATAAAGTGACACAGTACAAAAAGGGCAAGGATTCTCCGTATGCTCAGGGAAAGCGGTGTTATGACAAGAAGCAGAGTGGCTATGGTGGACAGACTAAGCCTCTTTTCAGGAAAAAGGCAAAAACTACAAAGAAGATTGTGCTAAGGCTTGAATGTGTTGAGCCCAACTGCAGATCTAAGACAATGCTGGCTATTAAGAGATGTAAGCAAGCATTTTGAACTGGGAGGAGATAAGAAGAGAAAGGGTCAAGTGATCTAATTATAAGCCTCATCTTTTCTATTATGAAGATGATAAAATTTTTTTTAAGAATTATTTTACTTAGCTTTATTTATTTATTTTAATTTGACTAGAGAGGGACAGAGAGAGAGAAAGCAAGCCACCAGATTCAGGATTTGAACCATGGTCAGCCGTGTGGGAGTCCAGCGGCCTTAACCACCATGCCATCTGCCAGCCCCAAAGATGATAAAATCGTAAGGTGAATGTTCACCTCATTTGATTACAGTTGGTCTATTTGTAAGGGAATAAAGTAATCAATAAAATTCCCCTTTCGGGGAAATTTGATTCATGGTACTACTTGTTTTAGATTAAATCTGACTGGTTGAAGCTCAAAAAAAAAAAAAAAAAAAAAAAAAAAAAACCATCCATCACTCATGTGCACAGCACCTTGCTGGATGTTAACATCATCTGAACTTAAATTAAGTATCAGCATAGAAACTTAGTTTTCCTGGGACTAGCAGATGGCATAATGGTTACATCACTGGACTCCAACGTAGTTGACCACAGTTCGAGTTCCAGATACGGCAGCTTAAAATTCACGCTGCCTGCACGCGCCTAAAATTCCAAGGAGATTGGAGGAGATGGGATTTTGTGGCCATCCCCCCTAGGGGGGGTGCTTTCTCGCTTTCTGTCTCTGTGTCTCTCTCTGGCAATTGTATGCACCCTATACCAAAAACCTCTTTTAAAAAAAAAAAAAAAAGAAAGAAACTGTTTTCCTCGTCCTTCAAACCTTTTTTTGGGGGGGAGAGGTTTTCACTATAGGGTACATGTGCTCGCCAGACAGAGAGAGACAGAGAGACAGAAAGTGAGAAATCACCCCCCAGGGGGGATGGCCACGCCGCAATCCCTTCTCCTCCATTCTCTTCTCGGGATCTTGGGCACGCACGCACACATGCCCAGCATGAGTTTTAAGCCACTGGGTCTGGGACGCGAACCGTGGTCAACTACGTGGGAGTCCAGTGACACAGCCATTACGCTAACTGCTGGTCCCAAGTGCTCAAACTCTTAAGTGAGAACAAAGTGTGACTTAGACAACCCGTTTTGTTTTGTTTTTTTTTTTTTTTGGCCAGAGGGTGTGTGCATTTGCCAGAGAGAAAAAAAGAGAGGGAGAAAACATCCCCCAATAGGAACTATTCACACTTTCATCTCTTTTCCTCCATTTCTCCCCTCCTCCCTCTTACCAGGATTTTGTGCACACACACATGTGCCCAGCATGTTTCTCAGGCTACCAGGTCTGAGATTCAAACCACATGGTTGGCCATATGGTATCCAGTTCCCTTAAACATTAGGCCACAGGGCTGGTCCAACTTTTCCAACTTACTTTTTTTTTTAAGAGAGGTTTTTGCTACAGAGTGCATGCGCTCGCCAGAAAGAGAGACAGAAATCGAGAAATCACCCCCCAGGGGGGGATGGCCACGCTGCAATCTCTCCTTCTCCATTTTCTTCTCGGGATCTTGGGCACGCACGCACACGCACCCGGAGTGAGTTTAAGTCACCAAATCCAGGACTTGAACCGCAGTCAACTATATGGGAGTCCAGCAACATAGCCATTATGCCAAGTGCTGGTCCCCCAACATATTTTTGGAGAGATTTTTGCTATAGGGCGCATGTGCTCATCAGAGAGACAGAAAACAAGATCCCCCCAGGGGGAATGGCCATGCTGCAATTGATTCTCCTCCATCCTCTTAGGGTCTTGGGTGCACACACACATACCGGCATGAGTTTGAAGCCACCGGGGTCTGGGACAAGAACTGCAGTTGGCCATTTGAGTCCAGCGACGTAATCATTACGCCACCTATTGGTCCCCATGTATTTATTTATTTATTTTCTTCCTTCCTCCCTCCCCTCCTTCAGAGAGACTTTTGCTCTAGGGTACGTGCGCTTGCTAGAGTCATAGAGAAATAGTGAGAAACCTCTCCCCGGGGCAAGGGGTGATGGCCATGCCATAATCTCTTCTCCATTCTCCTCTTGGGTTTGTGAGTATGCCCACACACACGCCTGGTGTGAGTTTCAATTCACCAGGTTTGAGATGTGAAGTGTGGTCGATCATGTGGGAGTTGAGCACCTTACCCACTATGCCACCTCTTGATGCTCCCTTTTTTTAAAAGATTTATTTAATTGTATTTATTATTATTATTATTTAATTTTGCTATAGGGCACATGCACTCACCAAAGAGACACAGAGAGCGAGCGAGAGCAAGAGAGGGAAAGTGAGAAAGCAAGGTGCTAGGTTCAGGACTCATGGCCATATGGGAGTCCAAGACTCCAACCACCACGTCACTTGCTGGCCCCTATATTTAATTTTTTGTCAAAATAGACATGATACTTTTAAATTACAACATGATCTCAAAAAAACATAAACTTTAAAAACACACATTTCAAAAAAAACACACACATTTCGGGTCTGGCAGACGGAGTGGTGGTTAAGGACGCTGGACTCCCACATGACTAATCAATCACAGTTCCAGTCCTAGACCTGGTGGCTTTCTCTCTCTATCACGCACTCTGTCCCACTCTGGTCAAATTTAAAAATAAAATAAATAAAGTTTAAAAAAAAAATCCACACATTTCTCCATCAAACCTAGAAGACTCAATCATCTTCCTTTGTGTCTATTAATAGATCAGAACCTAAACCAATATTTCAAATCTAGTATTGGTTCAAATAAATTCTGCCTCATTCCGTGACCTCACACTGATATTTAGACAAAGGACAGCTCCTACACCTCAGTATATGAACATGATCCAAAGAAAACAAAACTAGAGACTTTTGGTTTACAAAAACACACTTTCACTCCTTCTCTGCTAATCTGTACTCACATAACTTCAGCTGGTGCTTATGAAAGTTAGCTACCTGCTTACATTCAAGTCATCCCAGCAATAGTTTAAAAGATGGGATAGCATGCCACTGGTGCATGGGCTTCTATGCTGAACCACTAGCTCTGCATGACTCAGAAAGAAATAAGGAAAGAGAGAAGGGAAGGAAATGAGAGACAAAACTGTGGGTGCTTGAGAGAGAAATAAAGAAATAAACAGGATGTAATGATTGGGCCAGAAGTAGTTGGGCTCCCAAGGACAACTATTCACCAGTAAAGGCAAACATGAATTCCTCAGGAAGAACTGGTTTTTGCCTGAAAAAACTCAATAAGCAACAAAGACCAAGGAAATAAGCTGCTCTTTGATATCAGTAGTTCTGGGTATGGCTCTCCTCACACTTGTACTATGCTCTGTTTCCTCCTGAATTTCTTACTTGACAAACACAATTAATGGTAAGGAATCTCATGTCTACTAAAGTAAAAACATGTTTTTGCGGGGAAATTCCACTTAAGTGCTTAGATAGAGACCACTTATTACACTCAAATCTGTGTGACCCCACGGTCTTTTAGCCGATGACAAACAGAAAGCAAGAAACAGATTAGGATGTAGATGAGAAAAAATATTTCAGGTTAATTCCTATAAATTCAGGTGGTGTTATTAAAGTAGTCAAAGTATGTTTAGTATATCAATCAGAGCATTCAGTTATACAGTTTTAAGCAAAACAGGTTTTCTATGAAAGAGAAAACCCAAAATTAAATGCCAAAATCAGTACGTAATGATTCGACATCTACAACATCATCACAATGCTGGTGTATTCAGCATTTCTACAAAGCTCTAAGAGGTCTGAAAGGGAGACCCTGTAGCAGATCTCTTCTTTCTACATTTTGCACATTATGTACCTCCAAAGCCAAGGCTGTCTTGTCGTAGGCATTAGGGACTCGCTTCTGGATAACCCTGGCATAAATGGGCCCATTCTGGAGGTTAGGGAGCGGAGTGTTGACGCTGGGTTGGGCATAGGGCCCAGGCTCCGGCCCACCCAGTGGCTGTGGGTGGGAACCCTCCTGGTTCCCTCCAACCACAGCCGATACTGAGGCGGGGGCAGGTCTATACTTCTCGACGTAAGGGACAGGTATCATCCCCCTCTTGCCTTCGCTGTCCTCCGCATTCCACCACTGCTCTTCAGGCTTATCCCGGATTCTCAGGATGTCTCCTTTCTTAAAGGGAAGATCTTCTTCATCATTCCCATTAAAGTCAAAGAGGGCTCGCACATATTCTGCCTCATCCTGCCTGAGAATCACTCCACTACCCTGCCTGGATCTGGAAACTGGTTCTATCAACGTTGTAGTGTCCAAATAGTGTATTTTGTAGAATTCCAGTAAAGCAGGCAACGAATCAAATTCTTGATCCCCTATTCGGAGTCTGGAGGGGCTCACCCCTGGAAAAAACAGAGCATAGTGTTATTTGAAGATGTATTATACCAGAAGTGAAATGCAGATTTTTAAGCATTTCCCACAAACATTTAGTCAATATTTAATCAGAAAAAAAAAAAAAAAAACTAGGAAAAAAATAACCCTTTCTACTTATAGCTAACCAATACTACATTACGAAACTGAAACATGCCCAGGGAAGACGCCCTTCACCACCAGTCCCAGAGAAGAAAGAGAAGGCCAGCTGGGACATGCTCTCATACTTAACCAAAGACACTGAAGACTGAAAAAATGCCAAAAAAAAAAAAAAACTAGGAAAAAAATAACCCTTTCTACTTATAGCTAACCAATACTACATTACGAAACTGAAACATGCCCAGGGAAGACGCCCTTCACCACCAGTCCCAGAGAAGAAAGAGAAGGCCAGCTGGGACATGCTCTCATACTTAACCAAAGACACTGCAGCATCAGGACTCCATGCATTCTCCCAATATGTTCTCTTGCTATCTATTTACAGAGCAGCATAAGGTACAGGGTTTTGCCGCAATCTCCTTTTAGACACAGAAAATAAAACCAGCTCTTTTCTCTTAGGTCCCAGCAGCTATTCCAGTAAGGAGAGTTTGATCCCTACACTGAACTCAGACACTAGTTCTCTTCACATGTATACCTTACGATTTCCAAAGAAAAACATTTTGTTCCATTATGGGGAGGGGGGGAACAGAAAAGGAGGGAGATAGCTTTTTTGTCTTTCAGTTTGCCAGAGGGTGTGTGTGCTCCCCATATAAGAGGGAACAAGCATCCCCAAGCACAGTCACACTGCAATCTCCTCTCTCCAGACTGTTTGGATTTGGAGCGTATATGGACATGCTCCTAGCATGCTACTCAAGCCACCAGGGCTGTGACCCAAACTACATAGTTGGCCATATAAGATCTGGCTCCCGTAACCATCAGGTCATGGTGCTGACCTGAGAGACAGGTGTTTTTATGGGGATGTGGGAGGGGGTGGGGAGGTTTTTGCTATAGGGTGCTTATACTCGCAAAAAAAGACAGATATGGACAGAGAGACAGAAAGCGAGAAATCACCCCCCCGGGGGGATGGCCACATCACAATCCCTTCTCCTCCATTCTCCTCTCGGGATCCTGGGCACGCATGCACACATGCCCGGCGTTGAGTTTAAAACACTGGGTCTGGGATTCAACCTGTGGTCAGCCACATGGGAGTCCAGTGACATAGCCATTATTCTAACTGCTGGTCCCAAGATAGGTTTATTTCTTCTGAGACAGCCAGCCAACACCAACCTCACCCAGCCTGGATCAGGGGCATGCAAATGCATGTGCACAGGGGAACCTGGGATGTGAATCCAGGGTCTTCTCATGAGGGTCCTGTTGTGTTACTGCTCTGCTAGCATCTGGCCCCAGACACAGGTATTTTCCCCAGGGTCCTGGCTTGCGGCAACCCTCCTGTCTCAGCCTCCCAATCAGCTAACATTACAGGCTGCAAACTTGCCTAGCATATTTTGCCCTGCAGCCTTTCAAGTGGTGGTGGCACTAAGTGTGTCCCATTGCAACCAGGCCAAGAAAAAGTTTTTTCTTGTTTTGCTACAGAACACATGCATTCTCCCAGGCCAGCCCATGGCATGGTGGTTAAGGCAGCTGGATCTCACATGGCCAACTGCACAGTTTGAGTCCTGGATCCAGCTGCTTCAAAAACACACTGGCGGGACCAGCAGGTGGCGTGGTGGTTAAGGCGCTGGACACTCCCACATGGCCGACCAGGGTTCAAGTCCTGAATCTGGTGACTTGCTTTCTCACTTCCTTTCTCTCTCACTCTCACCCTCTGTCTCTCTCTGGTCAAATTAAGAAATAAATGAATGAATACATAAATAAATAAAATAAATAATTATTTTTAAAAATTAAAAAAAAAACAAAACACTGGCACAGGAGCTGGCAGGTGGCGTGGTGGTTAAGGGTGCTGGATTCCCACATGGTTGACTGCAGTTCAAGTCCTGGACCTGGCAATTAGCTTTCTCACTCTCTCTCTCTCTCATTCTCGCTCTTGCTCTCACGCTGTCCCTCTCTGGTCAAATTAAAATAAAGTTAAATAAAATAATTCTCTTAAAAAAAAAAAAAAAAACACTGGCACATGTGTGTGCATGCCCAAAATCCTGAAGAGAGAAGGGACTGCAGTGTGGCCATCCACTTTGCAGGGTATTTTTTTTTACTTTTGTACTTCTGTTTCTGGCAAGCGTACATGCCCTATAACAAATTTTTAAAAAGAAAAAAAAAATCTGAAGTCTCCCTCTCCCTGGTGAGTGCATGCTTCCTCTGACAAAAAAAGAAAAAAAAAAAAAAAAAAAAAAACAATCCCTAAGACAGGAATATGGCCAAGATACATGGCATATGTCAGAATATGCCACAACACCTTCTCCTCTCTTTCCCCATTCTGGTAGGATTTAGGACATGCATACATACACTCCTGGCATATTTTTTTCAAGCTGGGGCTGAGACCTGAACTGCAGCCAGCCATGTTGGGTCTGGTTCCCTTAACCACTAGGCTAACAGGGCCATTCTAAGATCCAGCTTCCTCTCCAAAGGGTTTAACTTAAACACATTTTGCACTCTGGAACCAGCTCCAACTTGATTTATTCATTTTTTTTTTTCTTTTTGGAAAGGTTTTTTTTTTTGCTATAGGGCATGTACACTTGCCAGAAAGAGAGAGAGAGACAGAGAGATAAAAATCGAGAAATCACCCCCCAGGGGGGATGCCCACGCCGCAATTCATTCTCGTCTCGGAATCTTGGGCACGCACTCACACGTGCCCAGCATGAGTATAAGCCACCAGGTTCCGGACTTGAACCACAGTCGACTACAAGGGAGTTCAGCGATACAGCCATTATGCTAACTGCTGGTCCCGATTTATTAATTTCTTAATTTGCTATAAGACATGTATTCTTGGGGAGCAGAGGAGGAGTGACAAAGCACCCCTGGATAATGGCCATACCACAATCCCTTTTCCTCCATTCTCCTCTTGAGATTTTGGCCATGGACACTCATGCACCAACATGTTTTTCAAGCTGCCAGGTCCAGGACTCAAACCATGCAGTTGGCCATGTGGGATCTAGTACCTTAGCCACCTTGCCACATGCTGGGCCCTGTGCATGCTTTTCTGCCCCTTCTCTTCAAGTACATGCACCTTTTGGCAAAAAACAAACAAACAAAACACCTCAATGCAAAACAAGTGCTGATGATTACTTTCTCTTTTCACCCAAATGAATGCTGAGAGGCCAAGATATATTTAAAGGATAGTCATACATTTCTTATATTGCAAAAAGTCCATCTGTCCAATCATGGTTGTAAGATATAGCCCAAACTCAGGAATATGGGTTGTCTCTCCAATTTCTTTTAAAATAATAATTTTTAAGAAATATTTATTTAACTTTATTTATTTATCTACGTTTGTTTATTTCAATTTTACCAGAGAAGGACAGAGAGAGAACAAGAGAGAGAAAGTGAGAAAGCAAGTTGCCAGGTCCAGGACTCAAAATGTGGTTGGCTGTGTGGAATCTAGCACCTTCAACCACCAAGCCGCCTGTCGGCCCCAAAATAACAATTTATTCCATTTTATTTGTCATGATTATTTTTTAATTTCCTACAGAACACATGCACTCACTAGAGAGAGAGAGAGAGAGAAAGAGAGAGAGAGAGAGCTACCGAGCGAGCAGTCAGGTCTAGGAATCAAACCGTGGTTGGGTATGTGGGAGTCCAGTGCCTCAACTACCACACCACCAGCTGGCTCCATCTCTCCAACTGAAGACACTGAAAATCCCACACCCAGGATTGTCCATCTATGACTAACACCCCTCAGGCAACAGCAGAACATGACCCCTGCAGTCCCAAATGCAGGACTAAGAGATGATTTCAGTACAACCACACCCGACCCATGGAGACAGTATATTCTTTTTTTTTTTTTTAAGAGCTATTTCGTTTAACTTTATTTATTCATTTACTTGTTTTTATTTGACCAGAGAGGGACAGAGAGAGAGAGAGAGAGAGAGAGAAGAAAGTGAGAAAGCAAGCCTCCAAGTCTGGGACTTGAACAGCAGTTGGCCATGTGGAAATCCAGCGCCCCCAACCACCACACCACTTGCCGGCCTCGGTGACAGTATATTCTAAAATGTCTATTCACTGAGGTGGATTACTGATGGAGAATTATTCCTATTCAAATACGGAAGACAAAGAGTTGCATGGTTACCTTGCCTATCACTGCTAGGCTAATTCAGGATGGCTATTCGGGCCTGCAGAGCAGCTATGTTAAGGGCAGGATCCATGTGAGGAACAAGATTTATTTAGCACTGCCTGGTAAACAAAGTTCCAGAACTGAGGAGCTGGGAGACTACCTCACACTAGCAGAGCACTCGTGGCTTAAAATAGTACTGACCAGGGGCTGGCAGGTGACGTAGTGGTTAAGGCACTGGATTCCCACATGGCTGACCACAGTCCAAGTTCTGAATCTGGTGGCTTTCTTTCTCACTTTCTCTTTCTCTCCAGTCAAATTAAATAGTAATAAACAATCAAACTGGAAAATAAAATAACTTTTTTTAAAAGAATTATTTTTTTTCTTTGAGAGATTTTCGCTATAGGGCGCGTGCACTCGCCAGACAAACAGAGAGAGAAAGAGAGACAGAAAGCGAGAAATCACGCTCCCCCCCAGGGGGGATGGTCACTCCGCAATCCCTTCTCCTCCATTCTCCTCTCGGGATCTTGGGCACGCACGCACACGCGCCTGGCATGAGTTTTAAGTCACCGGGTCCGGGACGCGAACCGCGGTCGACTACGTGGGAGTCCAGTGACATAGCCATTACACTAACTGCTGGTTCCCAATAAGCAATTCTTTAAAAAAATACATGAAAAAAAAAAAAAAAAAACAGTACCTGGGGAAAAAAGCACCCTTGCTAATGTTTATCCAACTACATGTCCACGTGCAAGAGCCAAAATGATTTTTACTACGTGTCCTTTTGGGACAGTGGTTG